ACGGATGCAAAGAAAACAAACCCGTTGTTTATATGCCAATATTGGAAACCTGGTAACGAGTAGAGCCAGTAAAATTAACACCTGATAAGAAGTGTGATTTAGTAACATTTCTGAAGCCTACTAGAATTTTTCAAATGACTTCGATGTTAAAAGCCATTGGAGCAGGCAGAAGAGACAGACAAATTGCATGGTGTAACAAAGACCCCACTATCTGCTTTAACATGACTGCCAGTTGCATCTAAAATGGGTAGGGGTTAATGTATTAACAGGCACGTGACAGTCTCAATACCAAAACAGATCTGCAGGAGACAGCTGAATGAGAAGCCCTTTCAAAATACTTTTATGACAAGAAAGTAAAGAATCCAGGAAGAGAATGCACACCAATAATTTTCCTCAACAAAACATATTCGAGTTTCTGAAAAACACAAGTGATGAATTTCTAAACAAACAAACAGAAAAATAACAGTAGCTAGGCGAGGGTAAAAGTGTATTAGATTAGAAATTGGTAAATGAAGTTCTGTTGATTATCAACTAATTTAATTCACAGTATGAGAATCCAAACCATTTTGACATAGTGCAGTGCTTTAAAAGGGACATTTTTTCCATCCTTAAAAGACAGAAAACTAAGTAGGAGGCAACTACTTATATATATAAAGGTGTAAAGAATGACTGGAAGTCATGAGAGAATGACTTTTTGTTAAAGTGACAAGTGAAAGCAAGCCTTTTTGGTGAAAAACAATAATCAAACATAATCAAGGAAACACTATACAACAAAAGCCCAGTGTGGTGACTTATTTGGATGACAGGGTTTTTCCTGGTACCACATGGAACTGTTCACCTAAGAACAGAGGCTGTTGGTTGTAATCAACAGAGCTGAAACTGAAGAGAATTTGGAAATAAATCATTGTCGATCCCTGTTTTGTATGAGCTACATGTAGGTCTGCAGCTACGGTGGTAAATAATCCTCCAGATTACAAGGAGATAAACGTTAAAAAAAAATTACAGGCATTGAAAATATTTGTGTATGCAGCAACTGCCAGACTGCGAGTGGCATGCTGTGTCACTTCTGGCATTCTTACAGGAGAACTTGGGATGAATTCAAGAAATAACTATAAGTATCTAAAGTATAAAACCCGCACCTCAAGACCCAGGAAAGCTCATCCTGCTTAATTTAGCCAAAAAATTAAGAAGTGAGATGGTGATAGAATATATATTCATGTACATGTGAGAGTTTAATGATTATAGATGGCTCTTCAACCAGGAAACAAAGACATGCAGAGACCCCACAGCCAAACTAGAAAGAAGAGTTGGAAGTGACCATTAAACCCCAAGGATAATTAACTACAGGAACACCTTGCCTAGGGTAGTTGTGGTGTCAGCAGTGCTTACAATCAAGCTAAACTCACTTTCTGAGAAGTGTAGCAATTTCAGAGGAAATTCTGGGCTGAACATTGGATTCGCCAGTTTGTGGTAGTTACTGAGGGAACAGAGAATCACTGTCACTTCCCCTCCACCTCTCTCCAATCTTACCCCATTGCTTAGAGGACCCCTGCATCCAGACTAGCATGCAGGGCTACCAGTGAGAAAACCAAATGCTTTCTTACAAAACACAAAGTTATATTTGAATAAATGGATTAAATGTTTAGGAGTCACGGAAGCGAGCAGAGATATCCTCTGGCTTGCTTGACTAGGAAAAGGAAGAAATCCATAAATAAAGTGAGTAACAAACCTGCCTCACCAACAGGAAATCTATTGCTTATCAGTAAACAGCCAACACTAGGTCCAGTGCTGGAGGAAAACAAAACAAACAAGGATGATGCTTGAAAATACCAAAACACACAACGTTAAAAAAAAAAAGGATTAAAAGGGGCATTATTTTTCTAACAATAACTAGCCAGTAGCGCTGTAGGCTGATGCACACACTCCCTCTTTGTCCATCTGCAGGTCACAGCACAGGCTGGACGCTTCTCCCTGGGGCGAATTATCTCCTGCAGCGTGCTGAGGAAGAAGTTACACCCATTCCCATCCTGCTGAGTCTCTCCGTGCCCCTCAGCCTTGCCTGGCTGAACACGTGTTCCCGTCCTACCTTCACTGTGCCTTGCAGGAGGATGGGAACACCCTGGAGCAGCTCGAGCTCTCAGAGCCTTGGCCTTTGCGCCTGTTTCTGTTCCTCAGATGATAGGGTTTGGCAACTGAGGGCCTCACGTAAAAATGCTTGTGTCTGTTCTACGCAACACCAGGAATGAACAGGAAAGCCAGCAAGACAATGCAGCCCTGAAGAACTGTTATGAAACAGCAATAAATCTTCTCCTCGGATTTTGACACCGTGCTATCATGCCCACCCAGCATTTATACGAAGAAAAAGGAGAGGGGGAAAGAAGCTGTATGAAGTTGAACTGTGCCAAAAAACCTCAAATATCACTGCCTCTTCTGCTGTAAACCTACTGCTTAGGGAACGTTTTCCCAGGTTGTGTTTATGCCCACATTTTTAAACAACTTCCACATTTGGGAACAGCAAAAGAACAAGAAAAAAATGATGTTCACCTGCACCTGGCCAAGAAAACGGGGACAACAGGTTCCTGCTGCCAGAACACGAGTCTGTGGTCTAGGATCGATCATCCTGGCCCTCCTTTACACCAACCTAACAGGCTACTGAATGAATACAGAAGCCTGTGGAGCAGCACAGGCTGTCGTGCAGCCACAGCTGGATACTGTGCTTTGTGAGCTCCCCACGCACAGAGGCCTCGCTCCTGGGACCCCGAGTCCTCCATGGGACGGGCTCTGGTCTCCCATGAGGCCATCCCTCTTGGGGCCCCGCAACCCGCCCTAAGGCAATTCTTTTTTTTTGAACCACGAAACTGTAGGAAGTCAGTGAAACGATCAATCAGGGTGATGAAAGATTTTTACAGCAGCTAGGCCTAAATTTGGGGTACAGGTACCCAATCAAGTGACTATGGGGGTAAGCCAAGCCGTGAATTTAACGGCACAGCCACGCTGTAGTGGCTGACCATACACATACTCCTATCTTACCGTATGTATACGAGGGGTCAGGCTTTTAGAGACCTTTCAGGGAGAGATAATTATTGCTATGTGCTCAGGACACATTCAGAGATGACCGTGATGGCAGTGAGCACACTGCCAGAGAAACAGAGTATTCTAAAGCATGAGTTCTCTAAAAGCCTAAATTTCCACAACTGACAGCAAGACACTTCAGTTCAACTACTTTGTTGTCAGTTACAGAAAGGTTTCATTAGATACACACCTCAAAAAAGTATTCCGAGTGCACTGATTTACTTCCCGCGAAAAATTGTTTGTTTTATTATGCAGAGGCTCTGATTTTTTCAGGTGCCACAATGTTAAAAAGCAAACAGAAAGAGGAGTGAGTCACGACATCCCGGAAGATCACACGTGTAGTTTTTAAAATACAAGGGAAGATGATGGTTTCCAGCCACTACATTTTTAGAAAACATCCTAAACAAACTGCAAAAGGAAAACATTAATTTCGAAATCGCAGGTTGTTCAGCAACTTGTTGAAATAAAACAGGAAAGTTGGGGATAACTTTAGAGTAAGTGAAGGGATGAATAAACAACCTTTGAAGATCGCATGTGGAGATAACGCCAAGTAACTCTAACAGGACTTGACATATCAGAGGGTTAAAGGGGCACTAAACCCTCGAGGCCTCATTTCTTCAGTGCTTGAAAGCAACGAAGTTTGATTGGAAAAGTCACATTGATTTTGTTTATTCTGTTCCTGCTCTAATGTTTCCCCCCTTGATTTACATTTTTGACATTAAAACGCAGTACATAGTTCTCATTGCTGCTGTCAAATCACATTTCAAATCCGAGCTATATGTTCTGCCCTCACCAAATAATCCGTATGGATTCTCATAGAAGGGTTGTTCCTTTGGCAAGAAATAATAAATGTCAAAGTTGTAACTCTGAGCTTTTGTTTTTCCCTTTTAAAGGCAAAGCCTTTGCTTGAAGACAGCACAATAGTTCCAGGCAGAAAACAAGTAAATGTGCATTCATCAGCATCCTATATAAATGATACGTGGTACATGAGAAACCAATGCAATATTAGCTATAGCTGAAAGGTAAAGTCGACCCCCAGGTTGCTCACTACAGTAAGACTGTAAATTAGCTACAAGCATTTTAAGTAAGTGCTTTCATTTCTGAGTTATGAAGAAGCACAGATTTACATTCACGTTTTTGTATAGGAAAGCAACAGCTATGAAAGAACAGTTTAGTCTGTCACAGAACTAACACCCCAATCTGAACTGAGATTTAACTGAAACGATTTTGTAGAGGAAGTAGAAAAGAATTGCAGCAACACACTGAAAAAGCACCGTATCATTTAGATAGGCATAAGGCAAGCTAGAGTGGAGTTAAGGCTGGGCTGTTAATGCGGACCTTCTGCAACTTCTGGCAATGACTGAAGCTGTACTCGGCATTTCTCTCCCTGCCATAGTTCCCTCAGGTAGCACAGTCTCTTTCAAGGAGCCCTGGTTATCAACCTGAGGTCACTCATATCTGCAGATCGTAATTGCAAATATTAAAGCAATACTGACTCGCTGCCCCGAGCCCCTTCCTGCCCACCCTCCCCGCCACCACCACCACCAGGGCAGCGGCGGGGAGGCTCAGCCCCGTCCCGTCCCGTCCCGTCCCGTCCCGTCCCGCACTCACCGGCGGCGCTCATGGCGCGGTCCCGCCCCGCCGGGGGCACGAGGAGCCCGTGGGCCCCGCGCCCGCTCCCGCATAACGCCCGCAGCGGGCACCGCGCCGCCGGGACACGCCCCCCGCGAGGCCACGCCCCCTGCTGGCCACGCCCCCTCCGTGTGGCCACGCCCCTCCGTGCCCGCACACGGCCCCCGCTGCGCCCCCTGCCGGCCCGCCCGCGAGGCCACGCCCACAAAGCGGCCACACCCAGTCATAGCCACGCCCCCCGCCTCCATGTATGGCCTCGCCCCCCCCCCCCCGCAGGCAGGAAGCGGGTGCTCGCGGCGCCTTCTGGGAGTTGTAGTCCCCGCCCCCCCGCACTCCGCCGGGCGGGGAAGGTGCCGCGGGCGGCGGGGCGGACTCGGTTTCCCGTCGTGCCCGCGGGGGGTGGCATGGCGCTGCAAGGATGACACCGGAGTTCGACGAAGAAGTGGTGTTTGAGGTGGGCGCCGCCGGCGGGCCGGGCCCGCGCTTCTCTCCGCCCCTCGCGGGGGCGGCGTGCGCGGGGCGGCGGCCGTTGGGCGCGGGGCGGCCGTTGGGCGCCGGCCGGGGGCGGGGGCGGCCGTTGGGCGCGCGGCCCGGCCCGGCCGTTGGGGCCGCCTCAGGGCAGCGCGCGGGGAGCGGCCCGGCACGGCCCGGCCCGGCCTTTGTGAGGCGCCGCCGGGACCGGGGCCGGGCACTGCCCCCTCCCCCCCCCTCGGTCCCTGACGGGGTCAGCGGGTGGCGGGGGCCTCGTCTGGAGCGGCTGGGGATGGGGAATGGGAGATGTGTCTGCGCCTCGCAGTCGGGTGGGTTCGCAGGAGCTGACCCAGCCTGGGGGTTATGTGTATCCTGGGGTACCTGAAACAGGTATTTATAGAGGGAACGGTCTGTAAAACGCTGGGTTATAATCCAGGGCTATGGGTTATAACGACAAAGGATGTGGTTTAGCCAGGGTTTGTAAAGCTCCTCGATTAAGGAATGCAGAGTAGCATCAGTACTGCCTGTTCATGGCTCTGGCCTGTGCCACAAAGTTTTCATCCCCAATCAGCCTTGCACGCTATCGGCAAAGCCTGTCACTTGTGTTGCTGTCGTCATAGAGTCACTGAGGTTGGAAGACACCTTCACAGTCATCTGGCCCCATCGCTTCCTCAAGCAATGTAAATCCTTGGTGAGAATATTTCACAGGGGCAGTGCCTGCCCCCTGCGTGCACTTCTTCAGTAGCAGTGGTGTTTGACCTGTAGCCCCACGGCTCTTTAGTTACTGCAGCAATTTCCATTTAGACTAAAAAAGAAAAAGTTCCCCTACGTAGGGAGTAAGAGATCTCCCTGCATGCGTGTGTGCACTTGGCTGTTTTCTTTGTGTTTTGGAAATGTGTTTCCTGCACTAGTAAAGGTGCTTTGACACCTTGCTGTATCAAGTATGTGTTACTACGTTACTTGCTGGGTGTCTCATACAGGAAATTCCAACTGTAACAAGATAAAGAATAGCGAATAACCCCACACAGGTGAGCCAGAGAAGGAAATTAGCCAGGAGAGGAAAGCATCACAGGTATTTAATGCTGCAATGTGTTTATTTTTAACTACTATTTAATTTTTGTTCTTGGATCACAAACTCTCCTCAGTTATCTGTGGTTTATAGGAAGCAGCTACGTTTTCTTCTGCAGCACAGAAGGCTGCTTCTCAAGTTATTCTTCAGCAGTCACTATTGCAAGGAGACCACCAAGCATATAGGCCTCAGTTATGGTGAGCAGCAGTGTCCTCTGAGCTTCTGGTGCTCGCGTGAGCAAAACGTTGGACGCTATTATAAGCAATGGTGATAAATTTAGTCACGTCTATTGCATTAACTCTGCCTAGGTCGTGCTCGCTTATCCCTCTTGACTTACACGTACCTCCAAACCATACAAAGCTCCACTTGATAGTCCTCCTGTTCACAGCAACTGAACTCTTCTTATTTCCTTGAACAACTGTGGAAGTTTAAGCCCATTTTCTTATCATTTCTTCTTTGCTTTAAGTCTAATCGTTTTGTTCTTATCATGTATTAGTGTCTTTGGCTAGGTTCCTTGGAAAGCACTAGCGCATTAGATGACAACATGGGAATTAGTATCGAGAAAGAAATGGACAAAGCAGGGAGGACATCTTGTTTTGGTCTTGAGAACCTGGAGTCCGAGGTCTCTTGGAAGAGTAAAGAAGCTCATGAGGGCCAGAGCACTGAGAAAGGCATATGAAGGATGCCAAGAAATTAGGCAGCTCCTGAGATAGTACATGCATACCATCTCTGCAAAGCTGCTATGAAGATAATAGCGTGTGTTCAGCAGTTAGTGCACCTCTGCTTCTCTCTCATACCTTTGGTAATTTCTTTTGCTTCCTCCTTTTATTTTCTGTCCACCAAGGTACCAGGAGAGCAGGACTCAGCATCTCTTCTGCTCACTCACACTGGAAGGCAAGGTTTTTGTTTCAGTTTGACTTGTGCAGGAACAGCCAGCACCTTGCAGTAGCTTTTGTTGATACTGCTGTGTAAAGTCTTCCACTGCAAAAATAATTCATCAATCATAGAGTATCCCAAGCTGAAAGGAACTCAAGAGGATCATCAAGCCTAACTCCTTGCCCCACTTAGGACTACCTAAATCTTAAACCATTTGTCTGAGAGCATTGCCCAAACCCTTCTTGAAATCCATCAGGCTTGGTGCTATGATCATTTCCCTGGGGAGCCTGTCCCAGTGCCCGACCACCCTCTGGGTGCAGAACCTTTCCTTAACCCCGAGCCTGACCCTCCCCTGTCCCAGTTCCATGCTATTCCCTCGGGTCCTGTCACTGTCCCCAGAGAATGAGCACCCAGAGTTGGTTATTTCTTTTACCTCACTAAAATTACCTGGAAAAGTTAGACCATTTTCCTAGAAAACTATGAATGCGTTGTTACTTCAGTGTAGATCAGGCAGAGAGAGAGGCTAAGACAGCTTGTGATCAGTGGGTTTGTTGGTGTGTGCCGTGGGTAGGGTTGTCTTGTAGGCTCCCCAGCGTGTGCATGGGAGAAGTGCCTGTATTCAGCTATGAAAAATGGAATCGTTTTGCTGGACGCAGAGTTTCAGAATCCTTTGATATTCGTATGCAGTAGTGGACACGAAGAAGCAGACTGTCTGACTGTGCCATGCTGCTGGTGTGCTTCCCCACGCCTCTGTCAGCTGTACAGCATTTCAGTGCTCTCTTATAACGCTGTTGGTATCTGTCTGTTGGAAGCTGTCGTCTGTATGCTTTTCCACTCCATTTGTGTGTACTATCTTCCTTTTACAAGTACAGTGTGAAAACTAGCACGCAACAACAGGAGAACCCAACTTGCTAGGATCCCTTATGTTCATGAGGTGTTTCCAGGATGGTCCTTTGTTTGGTCAAGAGCATGCCAAAAGCTGTTCTCTACCTGATCACCTGTTAAGTCTTCCTGGGCCTGTTTAGGTGCCTCATGTGTCGGTCTCCTGAGTCAGTAGCTTGGAGTAGTGGAGATCCTTGAGAATTATGCTTGGGATTGCCACCACCTAATGACGTTATACCAGTCTGGGGAAGAGAGTCTTTGCTGCAGCTTTCAAAAAACTCCTGCATTCCTGAAAGTGACTATAAATGCACTCTTCTCTATTCTTACATTTAAGAAATGTTGTCATAGTTGTGATAACAAATGCCTAATCAGGAAGGAAGCGATCCTTCATGTTTTTTGTGTCCAAACAGAATGTGTAGGAGAGAGAAGAGAAGCAGAACAGGGTATGCTTCACCTGTTCCACATCACAGTTATGTCCAGTGTTATTTTCTGCATATTTTTCAGGTCATAGCTCTGTCCAGCAGGCCTAAAGGCATCAATTTCAACCATCTGCATTACAAATTGTGCTGTAGCAAGCAGGTGACGTCCTGCTGATAGATATTTATGAGCTTCTAAAGACCATTCATCTTTTTCATTATCAAATATCTGTTACATTAATATCTCCGTGAAGGAGGACAAGCACAAAGATGGCATCACTGCCCTGGGGAAACAATATTACCTGTGCAGAAGTTCAAGAGCTGTTGCAGATCATCGTGATTGAGTAATAGTGAGTGACGGTCATTTTGCTGGTCCAGAATTGTTGCCATCTTCTATCCAGGTTATAAATGAATTCCTACAGCACCCAGAGATTTTTCATTCACCAACTGCATAGTCTTCTTCAGTTCAAGTTCTTGTGGTTGTTCTACTTCACTTCAGTCCGTACCTCTTAACTTTGTTTTTGCAGTTGTTCTTTTAGTGAAAGCACTCCAAATATTAGGGGAGAGGGCTCAGAACCCGAGAGGCAGAGGTGCCCTGATATGCTTGGCATGTGTTTGTTGCCAGCAGTGTGTCAAATTAAAAATGGCTTTAGTGTAGGGCAGATTATGGAAGAAAATGACGATACTTTTTATTAATGTCTGTCTATTTAAAAAGGTAGTAAGACAGAATAGAGGACATTTGATGTTAAGTTACTTCAGATGAGGTTTTTACAGCCCAAAATGGGCTACAAGACAGAATGCTGTGGTTGAAGTACGGTGTGCACTGTGCTGTGGTAGTTCCTGATGAGGTTAACGTTCCATGCACAACCCACTGTTATCTCTGCTATTCACCTATTTAGATCCTTTCCCTTCTTAACCGGTATGGCGTGGTATCAAAAGTCCATACCCGTATGGCACAGTGTCAGAAGCTCATTTAAACTTCCTCTAATTTCCATTATCTAGAAAAATGAGCTGTCTCGTCCAAGAAAGATGTCAAGTGAGTGTTGCAATCTACCTCTGGTGACCTCATGTGGTATCCTCAGTGATGGCCCGTTTTCTTCTTCGTCTTTGAATTTTGCAATAACGAATAATTATTCTCAGCAGCACGCTGGCTTTTGATCAGATTCGTAGGACTGACACATTGCTTTTTTCTCCTTGTAAGCATAGTCATTGTGATTGCTGTTTTCCACTTGTGAGTTTATGGATTTATCAAAAATCTTCTGTGCTGGAGCTTTGATCTCATGCACCCATTCTTTCAGAACACTGGGATGAAGGTGATCCAAATACTGTTCCAAAAGGGCATTTGCAGCTCCTGTGTCCTGCTTCCAGCTGAGTCATTTGTCCTATATTTTAGTGAACTTGTGCCACATTTGTTCCATCTGGGTAGTTATTAAAGCTGTGCTCACATAGGTTGGAAGGGACCTGTAGAGATTTGTGTGCCACCCCCCTGTTCAAGCAGACCCACCTAGCGCAGGTTGCCCAGGACCACGTCCAGGTTGTTTTTGAGTACCTACAAGGGTGGAGAGCCCACAGCTTCTCTGGGCAACCTGAGCCAGTGCTCCATCGCCCTCGCAGTGAAGAAGTGCTTCCTGATGTGCAGACGGAACCTCTTGTGAGACTGATTGGTCTTGTACGCTTCCTAGAAACACTTCTGCCCACGCTAGTTACTTAACGTTAATAGCTGTTCACTAGCTATCTCAG